CCAGCAAAGCTGAGATGTGCCCTCCAGCCCATGCTACCAGCAGAAACCAGGGCTGGGTAATGACTTAGAGACACGTTGATTCTTTAGAAATGGCACACAGAATAAATCTGTCACTGCAAGTGACTGAGGCAGGGCCAGCTCTGTCTGCAGAGTAGGGTGATTGCCTGTGATGCCTGGTAAGGGGGAGCCCTGAGGAGCATTTCTACAGTTCTGTTTAAAACCCATCTGGGTTGTGTGGGCAAGGCTGCCTGGTGGCGATGCTCTTCTTCTGCCTTCCAAGCAGCACAGACCATGCTGGCACAGAGCAGCTGAGTGGTTGCGCCGTGATGGAGTAAGGGGTCCAGGGCAGTGGAAAGGTCACCATAGCTGTAGTTAAATAATTACAGCAATATAAATAACGAGATATGCACAAAGGTTGCTTTCTCCCTGAGTTTTGTTCTCAACAACTGGCTGCTCAGAGCATGAGATGAAGGGCATGCAGATCAGCTAGGACAGGTACACGATAATAACAGTTCAGGCGTTTTCGCGCTTACAGCTGTGAAGGAAATCTCTGCGACATAAAAGATGTTTCCTCACCTCCAGAGACAAGAGTTCATTACTGTCGTTTCAGAGCAAGGGAGTTTGCCTAACCTGACTGTGCTTATATCTGGCTTTTTTTCAGAGGCTGAACTGACTTTTAATTAAGTGAAGGTAGTTAACTTGCTCACAAAGGCAAGAGCAGACAAGCCGTTCTGATGATCTGAAATGAAGCTTTTTATTCTTTGTATATTAACCTGAGCCTTGTGTGGCAAGGGCATTAGGAGAAAGAGCTAAGAGACATGAATTGCCCCATTTATTTGAAATTATTTTAATGGCTGTATTCAGTTGAATGCAGTAGTAATACAGAAAAGGCTGAGATGTCAGAGCACCATTTCTTTTTACTTTCTGTCTGATCCCTGTGGTGATTTATTTCATAGTAGAGCCATATATAAAAAGACTGCTTTAAATGCTTTTTCTTTATCAACATAAGCATCAGCTAGTATGTGATCACACACCTTAGCAATTATATCCACAAAAATGGCACAAATGGTGCAAACTGTTGCAAACTGTTAATTGCAAATATCAGGCAAAACTGTTTCAATTATATCTAACAAGCCTGAATAATTTCACATACGAAAAATTGGAGGGGCGAGGAGAAGATCTGAAACATATTTTTATTATTTATTCCTAGAAAATATTTATATTGTATGCTGCAGGTCAAGTAAGTATAACAAGACTGGGAAATCTATATTTAAAACAATGTAACATGTCCTCACCACATTTTGCAAATTCCTAAAGGAAAATGCTTATTTTTTCTGCCAAAAGAATAGTTTCCAATTTTTATCACAATTGTATATCTAGTCGACTTTTTATCTGACTTGCAGAGTTCAGTAGAACAATTAGTGAATCAAAATTACTTCTTCTGTCAAAATGAGAAATTAGACGCTCACAAAAATAACAGTGCTATTGCCATTCTCACTTTAAGTTCTAAGTATTTTCTCTCTTTTTTCTTAAGTTTTAACCTATTTTAATAGCAAGTGAAAATTAAAAAAAAAAAAGGAGTAACAAGCTGAAATGGATTGGTTTGAGAAGACAGAAAGGGAACGTTTCAGGGGGCAAGGTCTCTCCCTTCAGCTGAACAGCTTGATCCAACCAAGGCAAGGCTGCACCTTGTTTCTGTCTTCCCCAACCCTCTGTTTTTCAAAGCAAAATAAGTTGAAACTTCATCTGTGTGCCCAGCTGTCGTTTGAATGTCTTTTGAATATTAGAGCCCGATTTTTACCGCCAAGCTTTACCCAGAGGCCCTGTTGCCCAACTAACACCCAAAACCACCCTGGTAGGGTTTCGGGGGAGGCCTCCGCAGCTCCCCACCGTTCATGCTGCAGGGAGCACGGCTGCATCTGTGCAAGCTCCACCCCCTGAAGCCATTTGGCCAAATTGATTGAGTCCTGATCTGTCCAGATTTCACGCAGCATCTGAGTTGAGTCACTTTTTGAGCACATCAGGGAAAGCTGCGTAATTACAAGCACTAAAATAATGTACTTCACAGTTTGTTCCCAGTGAAAAGTGCCTTTTAGCTTTGAGAGTCTGAAAATAACCAGGCTGTGAAAATTTGAACTTCTTTTTTTTTTTTTCACAGAGCACCAAACTAAAATCCTCCTGTTACTTTATCCTCTCCCCAATCTGATTTTAAAAATCAGCCAGCTCTTAGTGGCCTCACACTTTGCCCCAGCTCTAGGATGCACAATCAAGAGTATGTCAAGCCACTCCAAAATTCCCTGCGCATCCCATACCATCAGCTCAGGCATCTCGGGGAAGCCTATCCACTTTGCTTCACTGAACTGCAAGCAAACCATGAATTCTTCATTTTGTAATCACTGTAACAAGCTTTGTGAAGTGAATACAGCTGAGATGTGATTTTCAGCTGTGGCATGATTCTGAAGTGCATCTTCATTTGGCTTTGTCTGATACAACAACTCTCTGGAGCCTTCTGGTCCCTGAATCCAGCATCCCACGGCAGATACCACAGCACAGTATCCTGGCCTAGAAGTTACTGCCCTTCAGCATATAAAAATAGCAGCATGAACTGTTGTAAACAAAGCTTAGCCCACAGAGAACAAAAAGTCCATTTAATAGAACATGCTGGCAAAAATATGTCTCAAAAAAAGTTGATGAAACCGGGTATTAAATCTGTTAGTGGAGTGTGGGCCATAACAAAAATGTCCCCAATTGCAACAGATTTGAAGATTCACAACATGACATTTTGCATGTGGTCTTTAATGGTCAAGCTGTAATAATAGCTACTTTTAAATTAGGATTACAAAACCCAAAACTTTCAGTGAAGAGGCATTGCAAGCGCTGAAATGTAGAAACATATTTCTTCTAAAAGCAAAAAGATTTTTCAGTCAAGGACTGCAAACACATAGCCACTCATGCAACTCTGCATAAGTATCACGCCATTCAGGTTCTTTTACAAACATGTCAGGTTTAGTGTTTCAGGGTGCAAAAGATTTGCAATCAACACCTGAAGTTTTGCAAACAGAAGGAGAAGTAGGAAAGAGAAGAGTACAGGAAAGATGGGCGGTGATGGGAGCCCTTATCTTGTGTGCTCAGGTGCAGAAGCTTGTAAAGATTTAAAGCTGATATGAAAACCTCACATGAGACCAATATGTTTTTATGACCAAAGCCTCCCTTACAATCAGGTTGATGAGCGGCAAGTATTCACCAGCCTGGGAGCTGGTGGGATGATCACACCATCACGTCTCCTATGCACCACTGCTATTCAAGGTGCTCGCAATGCAAATACTTGCTCAGCTACATCACAGGTGCGATCATCTCTGGGTTTCATAAGAGGGGAATGATTTAATTTGGAATTTCTCTTTATAGAGAACAGAGTATGGAGAAAAGCACCCAACCAGTTTTACACAGACAAACTATAGATAGATAAGAGCTGAGCTACAGCTTATTTGCTTAGTAGGGTAACTCCTGAAGTCCTACCTAAGATTTGAATCAGGCAATACACTGCATCCATCCCTGTTGAAATGCATCAGTTAAAACAGACACAGGTCAGTCTCTCGGGATCCATGTGGAGAGGGAATCATCCTACCATGCTATGTGCTCTCTTTTATAGCACCATGCTATAAGCCCCTCAAAGGTCAGTTCTGAGCTAGCTGAAGGACAGAGAAAGGGAGAATAAAACTCGTGCTGCAATAACAAATCCCCCAGGGGATTTCTGCTGTGGGCAGCAGAAACCTTGGGATGAGACAGATCTGCAAGATCTGAGAGGTAGTGCGGGGCAGAGGGAACAGATAACCTCGGAGGAGGGGAACACCACAACTCAGGAGGAATGTACAGCATTGCATGTTGACCCCACTCTGTCTTCCAGCAGAGTGCTCTTACCCACCTGGAGTTTCTACCTCCTCAGCCTGGGTTCTTGAGCAGGAGGGTAACTTGGCCCAAGGAGGTACGTCAGGATTTGACTCTTAGATTTGCCAGGCTCTCCAGGATGCAAAACCTGTTTCAGTCTCATTTGATACAACCCAGGCAGTTATCCCTAGTATACAAGCTAAAAAAAATATGTTCTTTAGCCATTCTAAAATATGCACATTCAACATTGCCATGTACTTAGTTTTTTACGATAGTAGGTGATTGGTTTCACTAAGACCACTGTTTAGAAAGGAAGTGTACTAAAAATGTGAGAATTTTAGTGCTCATGAAAAAATAGCTTTCAACCCTGGAGAATGAAATCTTTTGCCTCCAGAATTATGACATGAACAGCAGAGGTGATGATAGCACAGATCTGTCTCTGCCACCCAAACCATACATCTAAACCAGCCCTGACTGCAAGCCAGCCCTTCTGGGGTTGTAACCAGGTGAGGTCTAGGTTAGATTCTTCCTGGTTCATCTCCTCTTTGACCACATTGCAGAGGAACAGAATTTAAGATAACAAAGCCACAGAATAGTTGTCAAATGTCACAAAGTTTTGATCACTTTTATGTGGGACATACTGGATTTAACTACTGTTACGCAGTGACTTGGGTATGTCGAAGAAGTGCTAGGCTTGCCTGCAGGCCATTTATTATATGGATAGGACAATTGCTTCTGTTGTTAACTAAAAGAAGAACCTCCAAAATATGAAAACAAACTGTCAAGATTTTACAACAGTGAATACGAGAGTATTTTAAATAGAATACACAATCATCAGATTTTGTACACTAAGCTCTTAAAGTAAAAAAAACCTCAACATGGACAGACATATCAAGAGGTCAAGGGGTTGATCCACTTAGAAGGTTGTCATTAAATAAATGCAGACAAACCAAGAACCAAGTGACATCATCATCATCAACAACAGAGTCAGCACAGCTACTATCTGCAGATCTCCAGGCTAGGCCCACTCCAGTCCAGGCTAGCAAAGTCCAAACACAGGCTTGTGAGTTAGAGCATGTACCCCTACATTTCACTTTTCAAGATAGTGCCCATGTGTGTCAGCGGGCAAGCAGATGAGATAGAGTGCACATCTGTCTCACTAGGGGCACCTGCACTGTGGTCCTGCCAGGAGTCCTCCTTTGATTCACCTCCCTTCCTCTCTGCCACGGTATCTTTGTGCGAAGACAGAAAGAATGAATGTGGGCAAAATCACTGCCAATGGTCCTCAGAAGATCTTGCACTCGTTAATGGAGAAGAGCTTCCTCCTGTTCTGCCTTTTGGCTTGATTGACTGCTGTCCGCACAGCGTACTCAAACACCTGCTGCACCCCTCGGTTGCTGAGGGCAGAGCACTCCAAGTAGCCTTTGGCTCGCATGTCCTGGGCAAGCCGCTTCCCATCTATCGGGCTGATGCAGGAGGAACGATAGGGCCCCGTGTCACGCTGGTCAGTCTGAGTAGCCACTACCAAAACGGGGATGCGGGGCAAATGGCTGCGGATCTCGCCAATCCATTTGTTCCTCAGGTTCAGAAAGGAGTTGTGGTTTGCCACCGAGTAGCACATCAATACCACATCTGCCTGTTGGTATGAGAGGGGGCGAATGCCTTTGAAGGCATCACTGCCAGATGTGTCCCAAAGACCTAGGCTAATCTGTACTCCATCCATGAAGACGTCCACTCCAGTATTTTCATATACGGTGGGTCTGTAGTCATCTGGAAAAGTCTCAGAGGTGAAACGTACCAAGAGAGATGTTTTCCCTACTGCAGAGTCTCCCACCAGGACACACTTGATTGAATCCAGCATTTTATTAATGGTCCAGGGCCAAAAGCACTGTCTCTGTGCAGCTGGAGTGGGATGGAGAGATGCAGTGGTCTCAGAGATGGCTTCCTAGATAACTTCCATTTGGTGAGAAACCATCCAAATCTCTTTACTTCTCAATACTTGATTGTGTCACTTGCGTCTAAAATCCCCTTTTCTCCCACACGGCTCTGTGGTACTGTCGGTTTTAATTCTTCAGCGAGTCAAATGACATTTCTGGAAAAGTAAAAATAAAATGTAACATTTATAAGCCAGAGAGAACAGACCATTCTTCATCAAGATAAAAGATGCCTGGACATGTCTTTGGACAGACACGGGAAGTACCCCCCATTGAGGATGCTGAACCTTGCCATTCCCTCCCAGCCGCCTGCGTGTGCAACAGCCATTCATGTAAATAACCTCCTTGCTGCTCCATGGGGCTAACACTCCTATCACCTCTGCCATTCTCCACTGACACTAACTATTTTTCCCTCTAACTGTCTAAAAAGCTAATAAAATCAATTTAACTTTGTATAACTGTTACTAACCTGCTTTTAATGAGACATTTCCTGTCTCTGGCTTTCACCAAGATTGACAGAATCCTGAATCCTTCTTAACCCATCAGTTCAGATTCCCTTGAAAATGTACCCATGCTCTCTAGAGGCAGTCCAGAGAAAAGAAGTCCTTTGCTAACCAATTTGCAAAGATTTCAGGTGTGAATCTTGAGCAACACGAACCTTAACACTTTTCAAAAGCAATGAGGGATTCACAGCAAAAATACAAAGTTCAATTTTTCTTACAAATCACTTTCAACAAGCAAGAAACACAAGCCAAAGAAAGCCACACCACCAGTGCTCGCCTCAGTCTATTAATTTAATTTGAAGGGGATATGGCTGCCCTGACATTTACTCTGTTGTAAAACTGAACTGAGAGTACCTCTTCAGAGTATGTCATTGCTTTTGAGCTCCTGCCAGCATTCAGTCAAATTTTCCTATTTTGAAAGCGTTTGCCTCTTCTCCACTGTGTGCAAGATTCACTGCTCACACAGGCTGACACACAAGATGCTATGAAAATCACTAACTGCAAAACTGAAGGCAAATTCATTCTGCTCAACAAAAGTAATCAAAAAAGTGCCACTGCATAATTTCAAAACTTGTGTAAGTTACACAAATAATATGCTTCTGTCTCCTTCATATATGAAAAGAGAAACCACAGCTTAAGGTTATTTGCACAGAATGAATGATAGTCACAAAAAGCATATACTCTAATGTTACCGTAACACTCTCCAGTTTCACCATCCTAACCCCCACCACCCCCATCCACGCATGTCTAGTACACTCAAAGCTTTGGCTTACTCCACAAAGGGGGGGGGGGAAGGAAAATAATATAAAAGCACTAGACAAACGTAAAGAGAACATTTTACAGGCACTGACAACTGCTATGGGCAGCTCCCCTGCTTTCATTTTGTAGCAAAGCAGTGCCCTACCTCCTCTCATGCTGCATCTCTCCCACCTGATGCATCGCCTGAAAGAAGATGTGTCAGCAGCTTCGCCGGAGCGCGTTGTTTATATTATAGAGGTGGCACCACGCCGGCAGGGCAGCCCTCGTGTGCACTGGAGTTACGGGCATCTACAGAAGGCGTTGCAACAGACAGTACTTCCTGGTCTGCCGGCGCGGCCATGCTCTCGCTATCTCGGCTCACTTCTAGGAAGTGGGATGGAGGCCGAGGCCACTTCACGGCATCCCTGGCTGCCAGGAAACAAGCTGTTCCATGAATTTAAGTTTTGTTGGCAGCTGTTGGAAATTTGCTTTTAAAGGTTCAGTAGGTCTAGTTTCACTGACTTGCCTTCTCTTCTTCCCAAACAGGCTCTCAAGGGAATTAAACAAGACATTTACAGAGTACATCTATGAAAAAATTGAAAAGTATATGCAGGATACACAGTCCAATTACTTAAATGCATCATCATCTTTCCTTCAGGGTATTCTACTTCAAAATTGTGTCAGCAGTGCAGTTTGAAAACACCACAATTCACCACAAGCCAGTAGCATGTGATTCAGACGAAGCTGTGCTTTGAGATGCTTTGAGATGCTTGTGGAGCATCTTCCTTCTGAGGAGCGGCTGAGGGAGCTGGGTCTCTTTAGCCTGGAGAAGAGGAGACTGAGGGGTGACCTCATTAATGTTTATAAATTTGTAAAGGGTGAATGTCAGGAGGAAGGAGCCAGGCTCTTCTCAGTGACAGCCAATGACAGGACAAGGGGTAATGGGTGCAAGCTGGAACATAGGAGTCTCCATGTGAACATGAGGAAAATCTTTTTTACTGTGAGGGTTACAGAGCACTGGACCAGGCTGCCCAGGGAGGTTGTGGAGTCTCCTTCTCTGGAGACATTCAAGGCCAACCTGGACGCATTCCTGTGTGACCTAGTCTAGGTGATCCTGTTCTGGCAGGGGGGTTGGACTGGACGATCTTTCGAGGTCCCTTCCAACTCCTGAGATTCTGTGATTCTGTGTATTCCTGGGAGAAAGTTAGCATGTACCAAGTCTCCTTGTCAGAATACACTTTTCTTCATCACAGGTAATCCTTAATGCCTTCAGGCTCACTATCTTGTGTGGATTTGAATGTGGGGGAAAATAAGGATGTCCAAGGCATGACTTTCGCTACTTCATAAGTTCCAGAACAGAGAAAGACAGATAAAAGGATTGTTTTGTCACTCAGCTTGTCGATAACGAGGTCTGATTATTTTGGCTATTTTGAAAGTATGCAAATGATTAAAGACTATAAAAGATATTAAGGGGTAGTGAATGTGGCTAGTTGACATACACAGTAACAACAGCTGAAATATCCCACCATGACAGTCTGGAGATGTTTTCAAAGCAAATCATATTGTTCTGCAATCCATCAATAAAAATGAACAGTACAGACCAAGGTCCATATTCTGGTCCTGTGGACAGATTACTGTCAGCAGTCCCAGTCCTGCTTTTCTTCACAGCCATTTGGAGTTCACTTGCCTCCATAGATAGTTGGGACTACATATGTGCATATTAAAGATACTTTTTAAATTATGCACATCACCTCTTGAACCAGCCTCAGGGTAAGAGCAGTACTAATGTATTAAAATAATAACACAAGTTCACCTCAATTAATGGGAAACTCTTTAGATGAAACATCAACAAAAACCAGTGTCCTTCAAAGGACAGGCCAGTACTGGGCACTTCTACACCTCAGTATACAACCAGTTGCAAAAATATTTTTCTCTCATACTATGTACTACAGTCTTAGTCTGATCACACAGCATGCTACGCCAATTAAAAGACCACACAGAATCTTGTCATCACAGATGGTTGAGTCTAAGCTGCTGACAGATATTTTTTCCCAACAATTTGGTTTTCCAAATTTTACTAATTTTATCAAGTCCATTCTGGATCTGGAATTCTAGACATTAACCTATATCTTCTTTACACTATTTTGTTTTATGCTTTTATCACTCATAAGAATAGAAGATTTTATTTTAATAATAAGGTGAGAGCTTTTATAATATTATTAAGTATAAGAATATATATCTAATTCTGATGCTTTCATTCTGAATAGTGACCTTTAATAAACTTTGAGATTAAGCTCAAAGAAAATTCTTGCACAAATTTAGATAGAACACTAGTTTTTCAACTGTATTGTGTTGTCTACATAACCAATGCAAAGTTTATTTTCTTTACTTTCCTATTTTTTTCCTCCTGGCTTCAGAATACAGAGCCTTAGCACTGGTGTGTGGTTATGGAGCCCTCAGATGTCACTTATGACGTGAGCACAAGAAGCCATAGAGCAGCCGCTCTCGTAGCATTGCCCGTTCTGCACCTCAGCAGTCTCATGCAAGTAAATGCCTCACACTTGATCATGGCTGAATATGAAACAGAGAAGGTGAACGGTGTTATCAACCCATAACACAATGGGATGGGGAGAGGAACAGAGCAGCACCAAGCTCTTCATGTGAATATACATGCCATTAAAAACTAACCTAATATTTGTTGAGACATTCTACCAACAAAGGAAAGCAGGACTGCTTGTATCAGAAGGTAAGTTTATCGACTGAACCAAATGAGATTTTTATTTATGCCAGGAATTTCTGGCATCTACTATAAGATCACTGTGAGCACAGCTCACTATGGCTAAGCATCTGCAGAAGATGGACAGTATCTTGTCACAGAGGAAATAAAAACAGTCAAGAACTCATAATTTCAAAACCTGTCTTGGATATTGATAGTGCACTCTCAGGTACGCTGGGATTTGGAAGGAATTAACTCATACATAAACCTCGCAGGCAAGACAACAGGCTTTTTACATCAGACAGTCACAAAATGCTTCAAAGAGTTAAAGCAATTAACATACTATTATTGCCCTTATCCGGTCCCTACCACAATTGCACCTCAGTGCAGTTCCTGTTGATATCTGGATAAGAGCAGGCTAATTTTTCAGTTTGACCACTGTGTATACTAGCTCTTGAAAAGACCTGCTGTTGCAAGGAGATATAAATATTTATACTATCAAAAAAAGTCAAAAACAACTAGAGACACTTCCACTTGCTGTGCGATGCTTGAATATATGTGTTGCCTTTGCATGCCCACATTATTCCTGTAAGTTCCACCTCATGCAGAGGTGGGGTCTGCAAAACAGAGCCTACAGTTCTTCTCTCTCATGTTGATTGTAATCACTGCTCCTTCTAACTGCACCACAGATACATAAAAACTCTCCTTGCATCTCTTACTTAGAGGCTTTCAAGAAGGAGAAATGGCGACTACCCTTACTGACCAGAATAGCAAAGAGCACGCAGCTTTACACCTTCACCTCCATGGGTTCAGCGGGCACTGCAGGACGTGGACAAGGCCTGAGAACAACTCCTGCAAGCAGAAGGAGAGGGAGGAGGAGAAGGAGGAAGGGTGGCAGGAAATCAAGACAGGCAGAGACACTGTTGCCTGGTTAGAGGCAGCACCTAGAAGATGGAGCAGAGAGACAGCTGGCCCCTGTGACAGAAACACTG